CGTGGATGGCATGCTGGACTGGGAGTTCCAGTGCGGGAGGCTCCGGATGGGGCTGTTCTGCAGGGAGCTGCTCCCTCCGGCCTCGGCACAGCTCCCGCTGCTGGGGAAACGCTTGTGGCTGCGGCAGAGGAACACGCTGAGCTGCGGGAAGTGCCCCCACACCTCTCTCCCCATCCCCGGCGTGTGCCAGGGATTTGGGTGGGTCAGTGGGTGTTGGGGCAGCTGCTGCTCTGAGCTGCATCCCAGAGCTTCTGCAGCAGCCAGAGGTCAAGGCCAAGCCCTGCCAAAGCCCTCGGACAATCCACCATCCTTCCCCTCTGAATGCTTTGTAAGACACTACTGAGATACCCAGCAGCAATCACACGGTGCAGCATCTTTAGGGCCTGTCCACTGGCCAGAGCACCAAAAAGCTCCAGCTCTGCCAACTGGGGAAAGGCAAGTGGCTTCTGGCTATCACCAAACTCTCCCAGCCCAGCTATGGAGAATCTCCCCCTGAACCTCAGCAGGGGCCTCCAACCCCCTCAGCAAAGCACCCCCAGTCACACTGCTCCCTGCTGCAAGCAAGGAGGGTGATCTCAGAGCCAGCAGGGTGGAACAGCAAGCTCTGTGGAGGTCACAAAGAACCTGTGCCTCCAGTGTATGCCCTTGCAGGGTCTAGGCTGAGTTTTCAAACCACAGAATCATAGAATCAACCGGGTTGGAAGAGACCTCAAAGATCATTGAGTCCAACCCTCCCGTGGTCACTAGCCCATGGCACTAAATGCCACATCCAGTCTCAGCTTGAAAATCTCCAGGGATGGTGAATCCACCACCTCCCTGGGCAGCACATTCCAATGCCTGAGCACTCTCTCCGTAAAAAATCTCTTCCTAATATCCAACCTAACCCTCCCCTGGCAGAGCTTGAGTCTGTGCCCTCTTGTCCTGCTGCTGGTTGCCTGGGAGAAGAGACCAAGCCCCACCTGACTCCAACCTCCTGTCAGGGAGTTGCAGAGGGTGAGAAGGTACCTGTCCAATTTCAGTTACCCTCCAAAGTGAAGGGATTTAGGCCAAGTGATGCCAGTGCCTGAGGTGACCCAGTTTCCTGGTAAGGGACAGCTCACACTGGGAGGGCTCACACCCGTCCTGAGAGCAGAGAGCACCTCTGTGCTGGGGCTCAGGGAGATGTGGCTCACCTGGAATGGCTGTGCGAGGAGCGTTTCTTGACCTTCTCGTAGGGCTCGTCCAAGGATGACTCACTCCACATCTTGGGTTTGATGGGAGACTTGTCGTAGTCGTTGCGGTGATAATGCATTTGGCGCAGACCTTCCAGCGACTGGGGAGGAGGAGGTCGGTTGTGCAGTGGTGGGCGGGGAGGGAGCCCCTTGTGAGGGGACTGCAGGGGGGAGATTGTGCTGGTGACCTGAGAATCCTCTGTGGAGAGAAGGGAGAGAGAGCTGATGGCTGTGTGACACCTCCAATGGCAGCATGAGCCACAGAGGAGAGAAGGTTGTGTGGATAGCTCAGAGCACCTTCCAGGAGCTGAAGGGGCTCCAGGGAAGCTGCAGAGGGATCTGTGTTAGGAGCTGCAGGGACAGGACAAGGGGCAATGGGTACAAATTAAAAGAGAGAAATTTACGTTAGATCTTAGAAGTTTTCCCTATTCTGGTGGTGAGACACTGTCCCAGGGTGCCCAGGGAGGCTGTGGCTGCCCCAACCCTGGCAGTGTTCACAGCCAGGTTGGATGAGCCTTGAGCAACCTGCTCTGCTGGGAGGTGTCCCTGCCCAGGGCAGGGCTTGGGGCTGGGTGAGCTCTGTGCTCCATTCCATACCCTAAAATTCCATGATTCCATGACCCAAGGGGACACCCTCACACCTCCAGAGCCTGCTTCCCTGCCCCCTGCCCCTGGCTGTGTTCAGGAGCACCTGAACTTTAAGAAGTGCACTGGCTGGCATGCCTGTGTCAGGAGAGAATGGCCAGCAAGACCATGTGATACGCCGAAATGATGGAAACCCTAAGGGAAAAATAAGGAGCCATCCTGGGACTGTCTTTTGAGAGAATTTGGGGCAGTGACCACAGCAACATTCACTGCTCCAGGCCTGATGTCTGACTCCAAGGAGGAGTCAGGGGAAACCAAGTGGGTTTGCTACTGGGAAGTGTGAGTGGAATACAGACAGAAGAGTTCCTCCACTGGAGTGTCAGTCAGGAGGTCACACATCCCTCCCTGCTCTCCAGAACACTCAGATCCAACATACCGTCCTCGAGAACAAGGGCATCTGACAGGGAGCTGTCTTCACTGGCAATGTTTCCTTCTGAGGGGAAAGAAAGAGAGATGGTTAGATGGTCCTGCAAATGACAGTGACTGAGTGCTGAGCTGCACTGATCTCTGTGCACTGAGCCTGAGCCTCGAGCAGTCACCCACATCCTCCTCCTGGCAGAGCTGAGAGGCAAATTCCTACAGACAACTGAGTCAGCCCGTGCCAAGCCTGGAATGCTTATGTCTCAGGCCCTAAGGGCCTCTGGGTTTGCTATGCACCTGAGAGTGATCACCCTGTTGCTAACTGAAGGCTCACACCAGGCACCATTCTGTGTAATCCAGGGAGAAGCCTCTGGAGCACTCTCTACAGCAGCAGGAGAAGCTCTCGGGTCTCTGGGCTGTCTCCCCCATCCTGTGTGCTCACAGCTGTCTGCTGTCCCTGGCTGCAGTGCAGTTTGGTACCCAGCTCACAAACACAGCAGCTCTAATCTCAGTTCCTGCCACAAAGGCACAGAGAAAACCTCTGCGAGTCAAAGGAAAGGGCAAAGTCAGCAAGGGAGAAGGGACCTCGGCAGAAAGTTAATGGATTTTGTGAGAAAGCAATCAACAACCCAGGAAACCATGGAGTGCGCTGAGAATTACACCGTGAAACAGAAAGGAAAGAAGCATTTGAACACAGCAGTGACACTGCTCCCACTCTGATTCCACAGATGCCTTTGAGCTGGGGGAGCTCACCCCAACCTGCTGACACTGAGCACAGCTGTGAGCTGCTCTCAGGGGATGTTAGCAGAGAGGTGACAAAGCAGCACAGCCTGCAATGCTGACACACCTGTCATCACACTGTGCAGCAGCACACCCCAACACCCTCAGACAGCACCCCTGGGGCTCTCCAGGCAGGAGAGGGGAGATCTGTGCCCCGGGGCAGCACTGTGCTCCCTGCCCTGCGCAGTCGCTCACCATCGATGATCAGGGAGGCTCTCTGGGTTGGCTTCTTCCCAGACTTGATGCGGTACTCATTGATGGCATTCTCGATCTCCTGCAGCTTCTTCAGAGCATTCAGGTAGGAGGTTTTCCTCTGCTTCTTCAGCTTCTTGCTGACGTTGGGGTCGCTGGCCAGGCGCCGCGCGGCCTCCGTGATCTGCGACTGGATGGCAAACTCCCTCTCCAGGCGCTCCAGCTCTGCCTCCTGCGGACAGCAAGAGGCCTCTGGCTACCAGCAAACCCCCTGAACCTCAGCAGGGGCCTCCAACCAAGGCTCTCCCTCAGCAAAGCACCCACAGTCACACTGCTCCCCTCGTCCCAGAGCCTCCCTGAGCATCCCCATCTCCCCTGCTCACACGAGTGCTGGCTCGGCTGCTGGAACAGACACCCCATGCAAGGAGGACATGTGTGCTCCAGTCCCAAGTCTGCTGTGCTCTTTGGCTTTTCATGCAGCTCAATATGTTGATGTCAGGAGAAATGTTTTCCCTGCTGGGAAAACTGGGATATTGCCCAGGGAGGTGGTGCAGTCACCATCCCTGGAGGTGTTTCAGAGGTGTCTGATGTGGCACTGGAGGATCTGGGTTAGGGTTTGGGGTTCCAGCAGTGATAGGTTAGTGGTTGGACAGCTTTGCTTGGCACCCACCGAACACCTTGGGGTACAAAGGGGCAAAGATGGGCTAATTCCTCCCTGTCAAAATCCAGGGGAGAGTGTGAGCTGAAGGAATTATGGGCTGCTGCAACTGATCCCACCAGAAAACTGTCTCCTCAAGCTGCAAGCAAGGAGGGTGATCTCAGGGCCAGCAGAGTGGAACAGCAAGCTCTGTGGAGCTCACAGAGAACCAGTGCCTGCAGGGTCAGCCCTTGCAGGGTCTGGGCTGAGTTTTTAAATGCAGCCAAGAGGTTCTGTCTAATTTTAGTTACCCTCCAAAGTCGAGGCATTTGGGGCCAGTTTATGCCAGTGCATCAGCTGATGTAGAGTTCCCTGGCCTGCAGCAGGACCCCAAGCTCTGAGCTTCAAAGTACTTGCTAACCTGCAATGGACCTGCTACCTCCTCCAGCTCAATGGAGTCTTTGGGGTTAAGTCAGCTAGCAAGGGGAAGCAGCACCCTGGAAACTGGGGGGAAATGGCAAGCTGGTTTACTTGCAGGGCACAGTGGGAGCTCAGCTGGAGAGCACTGACAGCCACATTTTCATGGAGATCCCCATTACGCACATTCAAATCCTCCCTTTGTGCAGCGGCAGCAGATGCTGCAAGAGCTGATGCTGTGGGATTTAATCAGACTCAAGTCCTTCTCTGAAGTTTTTATTCTGGGCTTCTGGCTTAAAAAAATCCCTTTGCTATCAGGGTGAGTCAGCATTGCCCTAAGACTGTAATTACCATTTCTCTCCTTTCACTTGAGAACAAACCCACCCCCATCTTTTTAACAGATTCCTCTTTGCTTTGAAGAGTTTATAAGCTCTATCAGTGCCAGACTTACTAAAAGTGAATTTAACACCATGGAGACTTAGGGCTTGGAACCTGATTCATCATCTTCTCTAAAATCCTTCCCAGAGTCAGGAATTACAGACCAGGCAGAGGTGATTACCAGAGAGACAACAGGACCCTTCCCCGTGAGAACTGCTCTGACAAAGGTCTGGCACCAGGGATGGTGAGTTTGCTGTGAGATGGAGTTCCAGACCTTCACAGATTCAGTTCTAAACCATTCAGTACATCTTAGGAGAAATATTACTTCTCTTTCTGGCCACAATTGTCTATTTTCTTCCAGCAAGGCCCCTATAAATAAATAAAGCCTTAGGAAGGAGCTGCCTTCAGGGGGAAGTGCCTTGCTGCAGGCCACAGCTGGTACCTTCAGCCCTGGACTTACGTGGCTGAGGAAGCATTTCACCTTTTGTCTTAAATTGATTGTCCAGTGTTTGCACTTGCTGAAAAGCACATGAAAACCATCTCTGGCCTCTCTGAACGCTCTCACACTGGCAGCCAAACACAGCCCCACATCCTCCTTGCAGAACAGAACTGCATGTTTCCCAGCCCAGTCTGAGGCCTGGCAGATGGCACGGGAGGCAGAGACAGCTGAGTCAGCATGTCTGCACTTGGTGCCAAGAGGCCAAGTGCCTGCAGTGGGCAGGAGCTGCTCCACCTGCCTGCTCTGCCCACCTCACCTTGCCACTGGAACAAGCATTCCTGGCCTGCCAGCCCCAAGGGCTCCTTGCAGCAGAGAGATGTGGGAGCAGGTTCTAACTGAGCAGCCAGCAGACTGCAGGGGGTGAGGAGGAACTCGCCTAGGCCGTGCTTCCCTTTGAAAAGCTTAATTAAATGTGCTAGTTCATGAATATTTGACTGGGGCGGAATTCCTCTCCCAGGCTCCATTGAGAACAAAACTAAGGAGCTCCAGCTGTTTGTTTCTTCAGGAGGAAAATGCCAACAAAATGACAAACAGTTAATTCCCTGGCTGATCAGAGCCTTAAACCACACAGCCACACCAGCTCCAGCCTCTCCTCTTACAAAAATACAGAGGAAACTCAAGACTGGGCTACACACAAGTGTCCCGAGACAAATGTGTCTCTGCAGACAAAAGCTGTTCTGTGACTCTGCTCCTGCCTTCCAGCTGCTGCAGGGCTGTTTTCACAGCCACGGGTCAGGGCACTGACCCAGCACACTGTGGGAGCAAGGCAGGGCAACAAACACTCCAGGCAGGCTTAGGAAAACACAGCTCCAGCTCCCCATAGGCAGGGATGAAGGCTCTTTTGTCCAAGGACTGGGGAGCAAAGTGCTTTCATCTTGCTAAGATGGATAATGGGGATGCTCTTCTGCCTGGGCTGAATCTGGATTGCTGCTGCAGGGGAGAGCAAGTGGCTGTTGGCAATAACGAGGGCTCTGGAGGTGCTCCCTGCCCGCACAGGTCGCTGACTCGGGCACCAGGACTCACTGCCACCAGCCACTGCGTCTCCCAGGCTACTTCAGTCACCTCTGCAAAGCCAGGGATGAACCCTGAGCGTTTCACCTTCACTCTGAGTCTGAAGGGAAGTCACCAGCTCTCACATGCTTCCTCATTCTCATGGATATACAAACAACAGGCACTGTGACTAATGACAGTAACCTAAAGCTGAACTGAGTGTAGGACTGATGGTTCCTGGGTGGTGCTTGGTGGACACCTCGGAGACCTGGGGTGGGGACACAGGGCTGGAAGGGAAGGGCACAGCCTCACCTCTCCCTTGGGCAGGATTTTCTGCTCATCCAGTTTGAAGGCAGTTCCTATTCTTCTCCTCACAATAGGTGGCTCCTCCCCGGGATCCAGGGGGTATTCTCGTGGCAGCTTTCCCGTGAGCTCCTAGAAGCAGAAAGTGCTGTTAGTGCCCTGGGAAGTCCTGCAACAGGGCAAAACACAGCCCCAAAGTGACAGGTGTCCATTAACAACACATACAGCTGACAAACCACAGCAGAACAACCAGCCCTGCACACCTGGGGCCCGACAGGGTGGGGAACTCTTCTCCAACCCCTGCAGTATGAACACAGAGCCCTGGGCAGGTCTGTGAGTGGTGCCCAGGGCATGGGGCTGAGCACACTGCAGGGCACAGCCTTTCAGCTCTGCTGCAGGGGGAGCAGGAACCAAGAGCTCCTGGCTGAGCTGCTTCTGGGGAGGGTGAGCAGCTCCCAGAGCCTCCCTGCAGCACACAGCTCTGCTGAGCCCCAGAGTCACGCTGGGAACACTCCCACCGGATTCACTGGGAGGAATGCAGTGCAAACAGCCACAAAAGCAGCACCTCCTTACCTATCCCATAATGCTCCATGTGTCAGGGCACCTTCCAGGCCCCAGCAGTGTCACAGGCAGCTCTGCAGCAATATTTAGCTGGTGCCCTGTCAGACTGCTGGGGTTGTTGGCAAGGATTTGCTCCGAATCTGAAGCAAACCACACAGAACTGAGAAGCAGCTGGGGCACAGGATGCAGCAAACACCACCACTGATGTCAGTGCTGTGGGTTTTCTCCTGGGCTGCACAAAACAGCCACACATCTCTGAGCCAAAGGCATTCAAATGCCTACAGAAAGGGGCAGGAGCCTGACTGCCAGCACAGCCCAGCTCCTTGTACTCCAAAGTCTCCCCAAGCAGGACAAAAGGCTTTTGTGTCCCTTAGCATCAGCCTTGAGAGGATCCAGCTGGCAGAGTAACCTAAATCATCTGAATCCCAGCGAGCAGCAGCTGACCTCAGTTGGGAGTGGGAGTGTGCAGCCCCAGCCCTGCCTGCCCTGGCCTCTCCCCCACTCCCTTTTCCTTTCTCCTCTTTCCAGGTCACTAGGAAACAGGGCTCTGGCCTTTTCAATCCTTCCCTTTCAGGAATTCCTGGCCAAAGGGGTTTGCAGCACTGCTCTGTGCCACTGCTGCAGTGCCTCAGGGTCCCACTCTGCATTGCCCCTCCAGCCCTGGGGGGTTATTCCAGCTTTCCTTCCAAAATATGTTCCTTCCAGTGAGATGTGGCTCTAAGCACTGCACTAAGACATACCCTTGTACCCTGTCCCAAGGGTAAAAGGGATATTTTCTGCATAGCTCCCAATGCAATACGAAGCAG